CAGATGTCAAATCCCCAAAACTTCTCATATATACACTGTATATATGAGAAGTTTTGGGGATTTGACATCTGTCAGTTGTAACTAAGGTGAATTCCCAAGAAGGTGTTTTAACTCGTGTCCTCATCTAGTCATAAAAAGAGTAAACAATGACAAACTCTTGTGAAACTGCTCACTGTTGTGTAACAATATGCTAATTCAAATGCACGCTACACCCTTTCCTGCAAGTTAGCTGTAAATTATCATAGTAAAATTAATTTAAGAACTTAATCAAATAAATTATTATCAAAGACCAAAATAGGAGTATCCCAAAACGTATTAATAACTATCATCACTGATTAAGTCACTGTACATAAAAATGTACTGTTTTACAAGTCTTAATATTCAAAAATTAATTCTGTAAGGCAGTACAAAAATCTTACAACACTTGTCCCGTTTTATTTGATGGAATACTTGCCTCCTGTGTGTCTTCAACATCTGGGTTTCATGTGGATGCAGCCAATTTAAAATTAAACATAACGTGTAGATTTCATAAAATATATTATGAATACAATTGTTGACAAGAGTAAATTACAAACATCTAAAATGGCTCAAACAAAAAGAAATCTACAAGGTTGAGCAAATTGTAAATAAGAATTCTTTACACCTCATCGATACTTTTGTACCGTTTACTTTGTCACTATGTTTTCAACCAAACCACAACTATGTTGCTACACATAAGTGTGTGCAGTGATACTGTATCCTACCTCAATAGATGGTCTGCCAGGAGTTGTTCCACGTCAATATTCTAGTTTTTCGTCTGTAAAATCAGGCACTCGCACAGTATATAACCGCTACAAGGAAAAGGTTCAACTCATATTCACTTTCAAAATAACTAGTTGCTTTGAGGTTAAACCAATAGAACTGTGACTCAATGGTGATCCACAGCTAATATGAACCGTTTTCTTAAAAGAAATTGTCAATTCATGCAAAAGTCATGAGGGGTAAAGAATGATCTAAAATTTGCTCAAATGGCAAGAAATTGAGCCCGAGTTGCTTTAGATGACAAATTTGTCCAGGAATAAGCTGTACTCTGATTGGCTGTTAGTTTAGACTCCCTTGTGAAATTTTCAAACACATTCTCTGAATTGAGATTCCTCTGACCACTGTCCGCTGCTGCTCATAGGAGCTCCACATAACCCTACTTAAAATAAAATAGGTCTTTTCGAAGAAAGGCACCGAGCTACTGATGCGGCCGACTTTAATCTTAAAAGTCTCATCTCTCTTTATTTCAAAGACTCCTTTCAGTCCCTCTTTCTATATTATCTGGTCATCGGAGCCTAGAGTGCAACAGTTGGACATCAAAGAACTGACAGCGAGAAGGGAGGGGTCCTGGTCTCTTCGTTTCTGTTCTATCTTTCACTGCAACAGCAACCAAGCCGGGCCACAGAGAAGACAGAGGAGGGGGCAAGATCGAGGGGCCCGTTTGACTCATTTCATACAGAGGAATGGAATCCTATCATGAAGCACAGTACTCCAAAACTACAAGATGTTACCCTGTATGTGACTGCAATGACATGCTGGACGCTTTGCATCCAGATGGGACATAAGTTCAAGGCAAAAATGTCTATAAAAAAAAAAACGTTGACAGTTTCAAAGACATAAAAAGCACATAGTTTTTGGAAAGAAAAATTCTTGGTCAGCCATGCAGAATAAAACAAATGCAAAAAGTAAATTTTAATGGTCTAGCTTTCCTAAAAAGGATGCATCTCATCGAACCATCTTGAATCAGGCAGACTCCTAAAGTTAATAAGTTCTAGACGTTCAACCAAAGATTATGATTCATGAAATTTTCTGGTAACAGACAGACAAAAACACATTGACACAGATAAAAACTTGACTGCCCTTTCACTTTAAACAGATATTCACAAAAAAAAAAAATTAAATTAAACTTAAATAGAAAAAAACTTTTGAGACGGATGAAAACTTGAAATGTGTTGATATTAAGCTAACATGGATGAAGAAGTAGTTGAGCAGATGGATGATTCAGCAAAAAGGACAAAACTTTCCCCTGCTTCATTACCAGGGGATAGCTAACTGATGCGGACAGTCTTTGGGAGTATTTGTTTTGGGAGCTGCTTTGCTCAGGTGCATGACCAACGTAACTCACCACTGACGTGAGCGCCATCTGAAAGCTGTAGATGCGCGCCAGACCAAAGTCGGCCAGTTTGATCTGTCCTCCGCTGGTGACCAGGATGTTCTGGGGCTTCAGGTCACGGTGAACCACGCGGTGCGAGTGCAGGAAGTCAAGCCCCTGAAGCAGCTGGTACATCATATCCTGGAAAAACAACAAAACAGAGGGAGAAAGAGAGTCAGGTTAGTTTTTCCTGAGCATCACAAGGACAGAATCAGAACAGGAAACTTAATGGAAGACAAAGGCTGATTTGAATCAATTTTTACAATATTACAGTTTATGCTTAGGGTGCATATGTGACGTCACAATGCTCAAGTGGATCAGATATAACATAACGCGCCAACTGGTTGCAGCTGATTTAAATTTTACAAGCAAGCCTTATTGTGATTTAATTTGAACTGATGAACACGACTAACTAGGTCAGACGGTTTTGTAATCTTGCATGTTTATAATGGTTTGATTTCATTAGAGTCAAAATGAGCGACAAACAGCCTGAATGACAGGAACCTGCAGTGAGCAGTTGAGGATAAAAGTGAGACGTTATGGTATGGAGGGAGTTAACAAGAGGAGGCCTGCGTCTTTTCTTGTCGTCTGTGGCAGATGTTTGATAACTGACACACACACATACACACAGAGGCAGAAAGAGGCCCCTGCTTTGTACAAGCGCAGATCTCGGTTACTTAGCAGCTGTCCTGCTCTAGTTAATTGGTGCTTGCTTTCTTTATAAGCCCAAAAGTTGACCTCGAACAGTTTTAGCAAAGGGAAAGCTTCCATGACACACTGGCAAAAGTAAATTGTTGTGAGCAGGAACGAACCATGTCAAAACCAGCTGAGACTTGTTCTTTTTAAACCGGAATATTCTCAAACAGGTCCCACACCTGTAAACAAATAAGCCATTAAAAGGAATCAAGTAGGTTAAGAAGCAAAGCAGCTTGGGTTGTTTGACTTCACAGTTCAAGAGATTACCTGTTTTCACCCATTGATTAATTGAAACATATTTGAAGTGGGAGTTTGTGGAAAGTTAAGTGCAATTAATTAATGTCTTACCTGTTGTAGATAGCTCTGAACTACTTCAATTTGACAAAGATTTAATTCTGACCAATCACAAGTTAAGGGTTATTCCAAGCGGGTCCGATAACAATGCTGCCATCTTGAAACAAATCCAGTCAAAAATGTTTCCAAGTGATTAATTTGAACGCCATAATGTAAACCTTTACAATGCTGTCAATTTTACATTACATGGTGCAAATAGCAGCAGCAGTCGCTAGATGAGTCACTTCTGGAGCAGCCCGGTACATATTTAGTAGGAATATCATAATTCATTTACCAGAATAACTGGTGGTGGTGCAAAGACTGGAGTTGTTTTAAGATGGCAGGAATCCAGTTTGGTCTTGGGCCGACTCAGACTAGTGAAAATTTACCAAAATATTAATTGCTCACAACCTTTCCACAGAACCCCACTTCAAACAAACTATTTAATGGTTTATTTACCTACCGGTACTAAGAAACCAATTACTATGAAGAAGACTATGTGAAAGGGCAAGGTAAAGGGTTTGCAAAATGCAGTGCCATGATGATGGATGTGTTGCATGTTTGTCGGACACACAAACCACCTCCTCCAAGACCCCACAAGTGACATGGACCTGAGCCCATGTCTTTATTCTGTGGCAAACCAGCTGGTGGGTGAGTCAAAGAGGTCTGTGCACTCAAGCAGAAAACATTAGCAAATGGTGCTGGGCTGGCTGCTGTGCTACCCATAGATGAGAGGACAGACCACTCAATGCTGTTGAGGTGAAGAGCGATGTGAGGGTGTCTCAATACAAAAACAAACACAAATGCCCCCTTGACTTGGAGAAAATATACTATTAAAGGATCCGCACATCCATTTCTGTGTATGCGTGTATCTCAACATGTGTAGGGGTGCATCAGTCTGCACAGAAGCCTGTGCACACGTGTGGGTGCCCCCCCAGACCGAGAACAGGATGCATAAACAGACCTCCCTTTCTATATCTCCATCCAGCCATGACCCACAGTGAAGGGCGGCAGACAGACAGGGCCATAGGATAGAGGCAGGCGGTTGGTCATTTATGTGTACGAGTGTTTGTGTGTGCTGTGAGGGGCTGACACAATAGCAATTCCCCACCCAACAGTTCCTCTCTGCTTTAAATAGTCATTTCACCATGCTTCCTTTCAATAGCATTTCCTAGTAAACACTAATTATTTAAAAAGGTGCAACTCTTGGACGTCAACAGCCTTGGACTCCATGGCCTTTTCTATAAAACCAGCTACAATCACAACTACATATTTTATATATTTTCTTTGGCACAGACATTACTAAAACATTAAGTTCACACGTAAAATAAATAAATTACGACCACTTGTGCAAAACTGAATTGCCTGCACATAGAATAACTATCATGGAAGGACTTCAATCAAACATCTCACAAACAACTTGGTCAAGAGGAAACAAAAACAAAACTGAAACATCTGACGCTAAGAAAAAACAGATGAACAGTAAAAAAAAAAAAAAAAGTACTCAGCTAATTGCAAGAAACAGTCAAAATATATCTTTCTGAGTTCACCTTCTTTTCTGATGCAAATGCACCAGAGGCAGCCATATTGTTTTTTGTAGTTAGGCACAATATAGGACATCTGCCGGTTATCGTTAGTGTAATTCCCTCCCCATGCTTCATTAACTTCCCCCCTTCAAGGGCCTACAGAATGCAGTTGCGGAAGATTGGACGATGGTGGCGGAGGAGGGTGGGCGACACCCAAGCGCTGGCCTGGCTGAGGAGCACTGAGGCTGGGGCAACCCGGCTGCTTGATGTCCTTCCAGCTCATTTGATTCCTGGAGGAGGGCCTCTTTTATCAATGACCATGTGGTGGGTCTTGAGTCTGAGTGGGTGGTGGAGGATGGGAGGCTGAAGTGGACTGGCTGGGCCAGTGTGGGGTCTCTGTTGGCAAGAATGGATGGTTTTAAGGTAAAGTATGGCTGTTCTTTTCAGTTTGGGGCTTGTAGTTAACAGAAATGTTCCCCCCTAGGTTGGGGGAATCCTCAGCTAAGGCTGAAATTAATTTAAGAATACAATCAGAGGGGCAGTGCTATGATCTACAATAGACAGTCATATATGGGGGCAGGGTCACTTTGAGGTCACTGGGCAGTGCCCACTGTCCTAGAAATAACAAGGGATAGTGATTATGAGTGATATAACTCCTTGTCCTTTTGTCCCTTTCAGGGTCCAGCTAAACGAATGTTAGGAGAAAGCAAAGGGAGGAGGGTGTTTTAATGGGCTAGCATTCTTCAAAGAAGAGTGTTTGATTGTGAAGTGTCCAAAGCATTCTTCTTTAACTCCTCCAACGTTGGGAGTTGTGAGAATGTGAGAGGGATGTACATCTGACAATTGGTGTAACTTTCCAAAAGAGGCAAAAGACATTCACAACATGCAGCTAGAGGCAAGAAGTATGAAGCTAAGTAGGCAGGATTTGAGCTACTGCATTGTCTTTTCTCTCCGTGTACCATCTTCTTTCCTTCCCCTTTTCACAATGGTTTTGTTGTTAAAATCAATACTTCTTCACATAAAACTGTGCCCAATCACACCAGATTATTCATCCCACACAGTGGATTCTTCTCAGAAGATAAGTCAAAGTGCTTTAAAAATGTCACTCTACTTTTGATTGTAAAACTGTAAATTCAGTTGATTTCAAACCAAGCAGCACCCCTCCAGGGTTGAAAAACAAGACCGGCAAGCAAGTGCCAAAACACTGCAGGTTCTCAAATGAACTTCTAGAGTCATCTCCAAATGAGTCAATCCCCACTGAGCCTCATGTCAAACACGTTTGATGCACCAGTGTACACAAAGTGTCTTTGAGTTCATCTCTTGCAAGTCTTGTCTTTCACTTTAAAACCCCAAGATGGCTGAAGAAAGCTTCACACAGCGGTCCATTTATTATCCATTTTAGAAAAGGTATGTTTAGTTATTTTTCAAAGCGTGAAATACATTTTTTGTTCAAAATAAGTTTTGAGAATGTTACAATAGGTCATAAGATTGTTGTCTTCAAGAAGGACTTGGATTTCATGTTCTAAGCAAGGGGTGCCCACAATTTTTCATCATGCAGATTCTTTTAAAAAGACCAAGTCAAAGTGATCTACCTGCTATAAGGCCCCGTTTACACAGAACAACTTCTGGAAATGTTAGGGGTTTTTTCTAATGCGTATTGGGGGTAGTATAAGCAAAAAATGAGAGGGTTTACATGAAAACACTGCATTTTCCATGTCAGTCGAGTTGCCAGATAAGAAATTCTGAACTATAGTACTGTGGCTTTAAAATGATAGTATTTTGACCTAAACTGTCATATGTGCTGAATAAAGATGTTCCAAGATGAGGTGTGTGTTGTGTTTGTTGAACATGTGCACAGAAAAGGAGGGGGTAAATAAGATATTTTAAATTTATTTGGCAACCCTGATGCAGGGCTCAGCTGCATTCTTTGTGCATGCAGTGTCTGCATGATCACAGTTAGTCCAAACAGTTTTTTTTCATTCAACCTTTATTTATACAGGTTAATCCCACTGAGCCTCGGGGACTCATTTACAAGAGAAACCTGAATGAATCCACTAACGTCTCTTTGGAGCCTGGATTTTATTAGTTTAGCTCCTACATGCTGAAAAGGGGTGAGTAGCACAAAAACACTGCTCTCTGCCATTTATTATAACTGTTGTTAGCGGCCGAACGGTTCACGTTGTGTAAACGGGGCTCAGACTGGCTGCCCTGTCTGTCAAGTGACACATTTCATAGATGGATGATCAGCTGATGTCAATTTTTTTATGCCATGCAATCTACCCAAAATACCTTTGAGATCGACATATCGGGCACCCCTGTTCTAATCCAGTGAACTGAAGATGTTGTCACTCTAGATGGCCATGGCAACCTCAAAAATAATTTCAACAAGACCTGGTACACCAGAAACATTGGGTGCTATTTCAACTTGTTCACTTCCAAATGTTATGCTTTACAACATTATGATTATATAATGACTAAATATCCTTTATTTAGCAGCACAGTTGTTGGAGCCATCACCTCATATAATGAAGATTGCAGGTCCACAACCTAACTGGGGTCTTTCTGTGTGGAGTTTGCATGTTCTCCTCTACATACGGGGGTTTTCTCCAGGTGCTCCAGTTTCCTCCCACAGAACAAAAACATGCATGTTGGGCTTACTGGTAACTCTAAACTGTCCCTAGGTGTGAGTGAGAGAGAGAATGGCTGTCTGTCTCAGTATTCTCTTTGCGACCCTGTGATAGTTACAACTCGTCCAGGGTGTACCCCGTCCCTCCCACAATGACCGCTGGAGATAGGAACCAGAATGGATAGGTGGAAGAAATGTGGAGTTTATTTATATTTGTAGTTTGCCTAAATTGCATGTAAAAATAGTTACATATTTCAAAATATTTTCACTACATACTAAGCAAACTTCAAAGTACAATACAGGTGAGCCATGTCAAATCTTTAAATGCCAGTACTAAATTTTACAGACAAGTCGAGAACTGAACTCTGTCTTTAATGTTTTAATATTTTCAGCTATGGCTTCATCACCCGCTCTTTGCACTCAAGCTTACTGCTCAGTAGTTACTAAAACAAATTTGAAATAAAGATAAATGTCAGCAGGATCATAAGTCATAAAACAAACTAACAAAGGCGTAGAGAATTGTTTTTATTATTAAGGTCATATTTAAGAAAAAAAACTGTTTATTTACAACCTAAAGATTTTAAACACTTAAAAACATTGTTCTGAAAATTAGGAAAATGCCTTATTTTCAATGTTTTTTTGTTTAAATTGATCAATAAATTCAAAACATTTTATTGAGCAAGGGTTAAATGTTTATTAGACAGATTTTTTATTTTATTTTAAAATATATGGTTGTTTTGTAATTTCAGTAAATAAATTTAATATGAAAAAACATTAAATTATATTTTATAGGGTTCAAGGTGTAACAATGCATTTATAAATATCTTCTACAGGAAAATGCTTTTTTTTGGTTGCATTACAGTAGTCCCTCGCTACTTGGCGGACTCGCTCTATCGCGGTTTTTCAAAATAAGATTGGACATGACACACAACCGGCTGATTGATGGATGAGCCGCACATTGGCATGGAATTTTTATTTAAAATAAATTATTTAAAATTATTTAGCATATGCTGCACCTTTGTGCAGCCCATACTGCAGGATAAACTTCCTTCTGCAGCTGATCAGCTGTTCTCCATGCAGAGCGGAGAAGTGGGCGTGGCCAAGAGCGCTTTCAGGTGGCAAAGAGCAGCGAAGGCAGAGAGCTGAAATCATGACACACTGTGTTCTTCGTTTAGAAACATTGATTAGAATATTGCAAGAGTGTGGAAAGGGTTTTTCATTTATCGCGGGTCTTCAGGGTATGGATCCCCGGCGATAAATGAGGGATTACTGTACTTACTTTTTATACTGAAGATTAATTAACCAATTTTGATCAGCTGGAACAAAAGGTCACCATCTTGACATGGGTTAACTTAATAACTCAAGTCTAGACTCAGAATTTGTTAATCCCGTTTCTTTTTGTTTGCCTAAGCTTTTAATATGCCATCAGTCATTAAGCATTTTTACAAGAGTACCTATGGTTATTATCACATGAGCAACAAAACGTGTTACAAATGAAATCCTAAACTACCTATTTAAAGGATTCTCAACCTTTACGAACAAGTTGATTGCAAAATGTACTCAAGTTTTTACAGAGTAACATTGCCGCTAATAAGTACTACTATTGAATACTTTATGAATTATTTCTATCCTACTGGATGATCTTTAACTGCTGAAACTGGTTATTCAGCCACTTGTAAAAGAAAAATATTCAGTTTAAACTGTGAAATAATTATTTTAGTACATGGACAGGACATAAACTCATAAGTAGGTTTCAGAGTTATAAATTACAACCAACCAACTTAGTTGATCATATCAGCAGTATCACACCAGGTATGATCTACCAGAATCACCTACATTCAAACAAGATCATTTCATCTTGACACAAAACTTTTAAACATAAACCTGGCCCCGAGGTTAAAAAAATCAGCTGGTGCTGCAGTATCAGAAGCTCTCCCATTCTAATTTGACACTTCAAACATCGGAGGCAAAACCAAGCAGAGATATATTTCTTTTCAATATTGTTCATGGTATGTCTACAGACCTTAGGGTGAAACTCTGTAAAGAATTGTTTAAAAGGGGATTTTTGTCAGAAAGGTTAAAATAAAAGGAAGACAGTTGGAAAGAAAGAAAAAAAGCCGGTACATCCGCTTCCGACCTTTGGGCAAAAAGTAAGTGGACACTCCTTGAATATTTTAAAGAAAAACTGAACATGAGTTAAAACACGTTCTTGTCAGAGAAAAAAAAAAATGACAGGAGCAAACTGGATAGTCGAAGTTTTTCCCAACACATAAAAACAATTTTTTTTTTTTTTAAATTGGTTTTCTGTCTCCATCTGCAACGACATAAAATCGAAGGTCAGGGTGAAAATAGAGAAGGCAGGGAGCCTCTAATTTTGAGCCCATCTGCCACATGTGCTGCCTTTCACATTCGTACCTCTGATGCGAAGGAAGTACTTATGTTTTATGTATCTCTGGCCAAATTTTTTTACTCAGAACCAGAGAGACATGGCTGGGTTCAACCACAGAGCAGTAGCCAACAGCTTCTTTTATACTTCAAACAGAAGTCGAGTGTAGTCTTTAAGTTAAACTTGAAAATGTTTGTAAATGTGTTTTCAGATATCAATTATGTATTTCTCACTAATAACAGGCAAACATGCCAATGTGTTGCCTGTTTTTCTGTCTGTACAGCACTTTGGTTGGCCTTGTCGCTGTTTTAAGTGCTCTATAAATAAAATGGTGTGGTATGGTCATGTCTTTTATGAAGACTCTTACAATGAGTGCTATAAGATGACAGTGCTTACCTTGATGGTCTCAGGTGGTACTCCAGGGTCAGGAGCCTTCTCCAGGTAGGTGGTCAGGTCCTGATCCACGTGCTCAAAGACCAGCGTGAGTTTGGTTTCTCGGTCGGTCCGAGAGACTGTACAAACATCAAATAACCTACAAGAAAGGAACAGGTGAGGAGGTCCACCATGCACAGAGAAAATCTGTGATAAAGCAAAAAGACAAATGTACGGCACCTCAACATTTCTTGATACTTGTTGGATGAACATTTCAATGTACTAGTACATGCCACATTTGCTTGAAATGTATAACATCAAATTACAGAAATACGTGCCAAGACATGAGTATTGTGTTGTACTCTTCAATTAATGCAGATTTTATTGCTAGCAAATGAAACGCACAACAAAATAATAATAAGAATATATACAATTCTTCAATAATAATTAATACATGTAAAACATCTGTATTCAATGGCATTAATAGTGAAACTAGTATTGTTTTAAGGAATGCGTATTGTCCGCCCCACTGTTGCATGTTTGGAATGAAAGATCTTGTGTGAGCCATTAGTGCTCGGGGTATGTGTCGGGGAAGGCTCAGCTACTACCACATCAAAGGTTAGCTCAAGAGCTGAAAAACTGACCGAGTTAAAAACCTTTTTGTGTTTACCAAGGTGGATAAGCTGTGGTGGTCATCTTGGATCGGTTTGGCTCCAACAATTCAGTTGTAGATGTAGATCAGTAGGGATGCACGATATTATCGGCATGGTATCGGCCAATATTAGCGTTAAAGTTAAATATCGGACATCGGCCATTCCATCAAAATAACTCACCGATATAAAGGACTCTGTTTTTGTATGACAACCCAGTGACAAGGATGCCTGCAGCAGCACAACGTGATGACATCACACGCGTTTACCTGATCTGATCACGGCGGACAGGAAGACGTCAAAATGTCGGCGGTGTGGAATTTTTTTTGTTCGTTGAGGATATTGGATTCCAAAGATTCTTGGACTACGTTGAGCCTCGCTACATCGTCCTCAGAGATATTTTTCTGACGTAGCCTTACCCAAGTTACAAACCGTCATTTCCAACGTCATTGAGAAGCTAATAGCTGATAGCACTTGGGTGAGTTTTACCACAGACATTTGGATGTCGTGTTAGCCCCGTTAGCATGATTAGTCTTACGGCACAATGGATAGACAAAAACTTTGAACTTAAAAAGGCTTAAAGGTCCTTCATGCACAGGAGTGCAGAGAATCCCACACTGCAGCTATAGGAACCTGGAACAAGCCTCCACAAGTGAGACAGCATCGCAGGTGACTAATGCTAATAAATAACATTTAACACTTTTCATTTAATATAAGTTAAAGAGCTCTGCATATCATATGGCTGTTACTGAATATATGTCACCAGCTCTTACAGCTGTTACACAATTTTCACAGCAAATAAGCCTAAATAAGAGGACTATGTTCTGACAAAGTACATTAAAAATATCGATATCGGTTATCGGCCAAATAAGTTTTAACATATCGGCATATCAGATATCGGTCAAAAATCCAATATGTGCATCCCTCAGTGATTACTTTGAGAGTTTAATAAAATTCAGTTCACAAGTTTTAAGAGATTTCCCTAACAGACAGACTGGTGAACTCATGAATGCACATTATATGATTGTCTGCCTTTTTTGATAACAAATGATAAAAAAGCCTTAAAACAGCTTATAAAAATGTTTGAACTTTGTTGTTTAACTTTTCAACTTTGGTAAAGGTGAAGAAAACTTCATCATTGATGGGACCCAAAAATCTGTAATCTACCTGAATTTGAAACCTTTGTTGTGATGTTTTTAACTTAAGGATGCCTAACTCTACCAATTACATTCCTAAAATAAAATACTGTGATTATTTAAAACAGTTTGAACATTTAGGACCATCAAGCCACAACTACCAAATGGCATTTATTGTGTTTCACTTAACAACCAACTAAAGCCAAGAATTCAGATTATGTCAGCAGACCTTCCAAGGCAAGCTTTGAAGAAAAAGCTGAAAAACGCAGTATCCACTACATCCTACTCAAAGAGTCGGGGGCTATAAACGGCATTCCTCCCCCAGCACTATGACAACTTCTGAATCTCTAAGGGGAGTCTAGTCAAGTCCACATAGAGCTGCTGCCGGGGCAGCATCCTTCATCAAAACACAGGAGGTGCAAAAACCATCTATGAATTTTTAGATAGATGATAGATGTTGTGGGTTCCTTTGATTTAACACAGCTATGCCAAAAGTTCATGCTCAATATTCCAGGTACAAATCCAACAATGTCAGGTCATCTGGACGGTTTCTTCTTCTTTTTTTTTTTTTTTGGGCCGAGACGTTTCATCCTTCATCCGAAGGACTTCTTCAATCTGAGGAGCCACCAAACAAACTGAAATTCCACAAATACCACACTCCCATAGTGGAAAAAACAGTTTGCTGGTGATAAGATGGTTTCTGGGGCCCACCCTGTCCTCCATCAACTCCTCTGGGGCAGTCATGTCACCAGCTAAACGTGGTGTTATCCTCAAAAGAGTCTCGTTAAATCCCGAAAATTACTTCCACACTGCGTGGAGAAGAGCCAACAAATGTTAATATGTTCCCTCCCTTTGTTATTGTCCCAATAAAGAACAATGGTTCCGAGAGTATAATCTCACAACTGTGACGAAACGGTTAGATAAGAAAAATGTTTTTCTTGAATTTTTCCATTCAACTAAAAAAAATAAAACCATATCCATCATTGCACACATCTCGACCCACTTTGTACCCACCTAGACAGCAGACCCCACATTTGGGATTTGATCTACTAAAGTACCCTTGACCTTTAAATAAGCAGGTCTGGACCATTAAAATATATATATTTATCATCTGCGTGTCTTTTAGACCTGGACATTCAAGCTGTTAGGATGTTAATGGATGCTTTCTGTCAGCTCTAGTGCAATAGAATTTTAAATTAAATTAAATTAAATTAAATTAAAAAAGGGTTTGAGACGTCTGCAACAACTTTGTGGCCATTTTGAGAGAAAGTTGGTTGCATAAGTGTTTTTGAATATGTTCAAAATTCAAGCAACAAGACTGTGAGCCTCTCCAAATCACATGAGGAATTTGAGAACCCCGAAACAGTTCCAAGAATTTTTGGAGACCATGTTGCAAATGCAGTTCACAAACTATTCACCAACTGTCCGAGCCCAGTGAGATCCATCAATCCATCCATTATCTTTACCTGCTTCTTCCTTTTTGGGTCGCAGGGGTCACTGGTGTCCATGTCCAGCCATCAATATGCGAGAGGTGGGGTACACCCTGGACAGGTCACAAGTCCATCACAGGGCCACATAGACACAAACAAGACAAACAAACATTCACTCTCACCTAGGGATAATTTAGAGTTACCAATAAGCCTAAAGCCTCCAGTATAGTCGGGCGTACATCAGTCCACAGAGGTCCGCACGTACAAAATTAGAGTCGAAGCAGAACTGGGCATGTCCGTGCAAAGCTCAATTTTTACGACTGTGTAAACGTACTGTGTGTCGCACAATCAACTGCCTGGTGACGGACTGTTTTGTATGCAACACCAATGTATTAAATTCCCCCTTCTTCATCTCTGATCTGGATTAATGGCTTTTCTTTAGGTTTTTTTCTTCCCCCCCCCCAAGAGACAAGCAATCTATTCCTCCTCGTCCATTGACGCCATGACTGAAATTGTGAGAAATTAAGGAATTTGTCACGAGCAAAGTAAAATCAGGTCCAGCATGGCTGCAGAAGGGTCTGGAGATTTCCTGGTGGGCTGGTCTGATGTGTGGGCTGCAGGGCCAGTGCTCCCTGTTTTATTTGTATTTTTTTAGAACTTTTTATTAACAACATATAAACACAAAATGCTGCTGCGGCTGCCAACTCTGTTTTTTTTTTTTTTTGGGGGGGGGGGGGGGGGGGGGGGGAGGTTGCGACCTGTCAATCAATCCAGTAGGCGTGTCAGCAAACAACCACTCGGCGACTTCAATTTGTCCCTAAGGTTAAAGCCCCTTGCCTGAGGAGCTGGTCTGCAGCTGCTCAGGGTGGACGCTCGAGTATGAAGTCTCAACCCTCTGCAAACGGTGCACGTCGAGTCTGTGCATAAAAAAGGTCCGCGCGAGTATACTGGGGCCTTTACATGCATGTTTTTGGTCTATGGGAAGAAACCAGAGTATCCGGAGAAAAACCCACGCATGCATGGAGAGAACATGCAAACTTCACCCAGAAGGGCCCCCGGACCGGGATTTGAACCAGGGACCTGCTCGCTGAGAGGCAGCAGCTCTACCAGTTGCACCACCGTGCTGCCCTGCCCAGTGAGATATTACCATAAAAGATACAACCTTTTCAAAACCATCAGAATATGAATCCTTGTTTATATTCAATAAAATATTAAGTGTCTGACGATCAGTGAGCTTGCAAAGTCAAAAATGTGATTTGTTTCAACTTATTAGTGCCGGCCACAGTGTCACAGAGTAGAAGACACCCTCCTTAAAAAGCACAGGGGCTAAACACCCCTCACAGTTTGATAGTTGGACTTCAATAGGGGTTCTCAGCAGACACTGAACATATGGAATAAATAATGGGCCCCATTACAAACATCCAGGATTTGCCTGGAGTCACACAAAAGCCTCAAAATAAACTTTTTTTCTGTCTGGATCTTCTCGGCTATATTGGCTGGCTATGGTGGTGAAATGTTACACAATGAGAGTTTTGGATTTATTTTAATAGCATGAACTAAAAAGAACACTTTATACTTAACTGACTGCTCAGTTGTTGATTCATCTGGCCTCCAATGAGTATTTAAAGACCACAGTTCTCTTCCGTTATTTACAGATGCATTGGAGAGTTTTGGCCAGAGGCACAAGGGCACATACTCAGTCTCTGAAACATCCATTTAAAACTTCCCCTCCAATCCAAAACACTAAATATTCAACAATAAAACAAGCACAAGGGCTGACCTTGGCCTGTGCCAGCATGACGCAGTATCCGACAACTACCATGAGAATAAATTCTTATTTTGTTACTTTATTGGTCATATGACGTCAGCTCTGCAGAGTTTGTTTTATTTTTACTTATGAACAAAGATCAGCAGGGTAGAGACCCTTGAACAGTTCTCATCTAA